TAATAAATGTTAATCTGAGATCGGCATCGTCGAGTGTCTGATATATCGCCTATTATCGTAAAATACGAATTTAGTATCGCAAGTAATCAATTTTTAATTACATCTTACCTTGTTGGTTCATCCTACAATTTCTACGCGATGATGACTCTTGATACTTGAAGACGATTCGATTTATTGATTTACAATGTTCCTACACAGGTTAATTGAAGAAAGTTTAAACATTGTACTTAAATTTATGTAAAGAAACGATTGTTTACAACCAATCTTTATCTAGTTGGCTGTCTGTTACTTCAACGAAGGTTGTAATAAACCTGTCGTGTTGTAGCAGTTTACTGAGTTAATGGCATTAAAACTAATGTTGTAAGTGTTGTAACTATGATTTGCTGTTAGCTTATAAGTCTCTGTGAACTTTGGCATTCACTTAGTAATAAATCATGTTGATCCATCTGGTAGTGCCATTAAAGGAGTTTATCTGATGCCATCATTTACTTGACGGATCATCGAATAATTTGTTTAAAGTTATTTCATAATCTCAAGATTTCTAAAACTAAAAATTTCAATTTGCAGCATCCCTTAGAGCTATATTGGTACTCCTGTATCAACATATTCCCTCAACGTTCAAAGTACTACAAATAAAAGGACATTAAAAGTCATAATAACTTTAATAGCAGGTCTTGCGATGACATCCACGCTCTCGCTCCGCTCGCCGGTTGATTGCAACTCATTCTCCTCAGACGTTTTACTACTTTTATGAAAAACACGAATGTCCTCCCCCTTTGACGGCAAGTTTATTCCTCCATTAACTCCTCCAGCCATAACGTCTTTGATCTCAACAATAATTTCTTATTTTAATACTCAGTCAGCAAACCGTAAGATAGCATATTGCGGAACACAATTTAATTTGAATATAGGTGCAGTCTTGGATAGAGCATGTTTCGCTTTATGTGTGTTTAAGAGCTATAAATTGTACAACTCCTTAGCGCAGGTTAAAATGTTAAAGGGGTTGTATAACATTCGTGATTTGTAATTCTAATTTAACGTCAGAATATTTTCAACGAGCGTGGGTAAAAAGCGCAGGAACTTATCCGGAATATAGTCAATTTCTAAGTCTTGTTGCGATGTAATTAAAAATAATGTTCTCTAGACAACAACAAACAATACCCGATAATTATTTAGCAAGTACAAAAAAGGCAATTGCAAAGTTCGTATCGAAGTGCGTGTTAATACTCGTGATGTTTATATTGAGATTGTTATCGTTAATATAAACGAGGTTAATCAACTTGTTAAAGATCGGTACATTTTGTTCGGTTTTATTTAAAAAGACGATCCTCTCAGCAATATTGCTAATCGGAACTTGTTAAGTAAAATATTTCCTCGTAATCTGCAATCAAAAGAAAATGAGGAAAGTAATCTTTAAAGCAATTAACTAAAGTTGCTTTTTGGAAATACGGAAGAGCCTCATACACGTTGCTTACAGATCAACAAGGTAAATGTTTGCTAATACCGAACCCGACAGAAGAGTTTATTTTAAAAACTTGTGCTTGTGAGATAAAGCGAATACTTAAATTAATTTCAATGGACTTAATGCGTTAACTGTTTTGATAATTAAAAAAGTAATGATAATGTTTCAGACAGCGTAATTTTTAAAAGATTTTATCCCATTATAATTTGCTTTCTTGCGAATAAGGCTTTATATTGTTGCTATAAAGTCTCGATAAAAGAGCTGCACTTGCGCAAGAGATTGGGAATGTTTATTTAGTAAATAGAGAATCGAAAACTGTAAATACCGTATCACCGGAGAGTGCAAATACAGTTGTTTAAGAATCTTTTGTTCCGGAAAATCTTGATCTTACTTTGCAAAACTTTGGTTCGTTCAGTGCTTCAAATTCTACTCTTGTATTGCTTTTGAGGATGAAGTGGTTTTAAGATATACAAGCAGACTTCATCACAGTTTGTTTGTTTAGTTTCAAGGTCACAGAGAAATTCCACTGTGAAAGTGACAAAACAATTCGCTCGACAGCGCTTGTGTGCGCAAGAATTTCTCTCCGCGCGGAGTTTAATAAATCATAATATTTTCAACTCGAGCCGCACCCCCGGGATTAAGACTGATGTTTTATTTGACACGTACACATTCATTTTTCACGCAAAAAGGCTAAAGATAAAAACGTTGAGCTGCGGATGGAATAACGGGAACATATTACCGTTCAACTAGACGTCAGGGAGTTTTCGTTTGCTGATTGTTTTTATGTAGATTTGCTTTGTGATGGTGTTTATCTCTGCCTTCGATACTTATTTTTAAACTTATGTATGGATTTCAGATAGTTGCAATAATTGCGTTTTTATTTAAATCAAAATGTCGTTATCAACCATCTTTATTTGTAAAACTTATAAAAATACTTCTTGATAAATGTATTAAAAAGCTTGATATTTATCTTGAAATAAACCGCAATCAACACAAACGATGCCGCAAGAAAAAGCTCTACAAACCTAGCTAAGGGTACGAACGTAAGAAATTTTGTATTTTAATGACTCTAATTAAAACGTAATTGCTGATCCGTCACAATGTCATGGTTTTTGCCTCGTTTATATTTTCTTGCTCATCAACAACAACTCCAGACGTCTCATCGAAAATTCATACGTATTCATAACTTGTTATTTCATTATTCATATTTTTATGAAGAACAAGATAAGGTAGCTTTTTCTTGCCCCTATCTTGACTGAGTGCCCTATTTTCTGGGACAATCCCGGAGCTATGCCCTGAAGGGTCGACCTTAAGTGGCCCGTGTCACGTAGGGCCTCTGTTATGTCCCTATTTTTCACTCTAATACAGTACAAAGCCATTTTAATAGACGGCAGACAGGGACAGAGTGTTACAAAATCGGAAATTTCTGGACTTTCGTCTCTTTCTTTTGCTATCTTTCAACGGCCGAATGCAGCACAGTATCTTGTTGTTTTTCCTTAAACCCAATGACGCTTCAAATTGTACCTCACATTCAAAAGGAGTCCTTTTTATGTGCAAGTTTCTCTAAATCGGGTCTGAAATTACAACCCAGTGCCTTTATAAAAGCTTTTTCAGAAACTTTCATTTCGTTTGCTATTGTCTGAAATATTTATCTTTTTGTTACACTTGGAGATAATTGAAAAGAGAAAAGAAATTCTTTATTTGGAACATTTATTTTGAAGTATACAAAATGTGCTACTACATGATTTATCGACGTAATTTGCAATAAATTATGATTCTATCAAAGTTCAACAATACATTTTAGCTGACCTTTTTATTAGCCACTAAAATTTTTGAACACTTATAATAAATTCTAAAAAAATTTGATCATTATCATAAAACGTAATGCATTATTATGATTACATATTTACAATACAACTTAATAACAAAAAAATCCTTGAGAAGCAGCTCAATTAAAACCATTCTCACACTAAATTACTATGTATTAACTATCTGGTCATTAACTACAATTCGAATTCAAAGTAGGTGAATTTTCATCACCCCACAAGTTTATAATCAACTTCCCATATGAATACCTGGCTACTGTTAACTTTAATATAAATGTTTTGAAAGTGCTTATTTTCGTATTATAATTAGTATCTTGAATGTAGCCTTAATTACCAAATGTTATCCATAAAATAGTTTTTAAACTTTCACTTCCATTCACAAGTACCTAATTAAAAAACCACCTTTCAGATCTAAAAAAGTCTTTCGACGATACGAAAATAATATAAATTGAGATACAATAAATTTCAATAGGTTCTAAAACCGAAAAGCGGTTGGAGCCGTAAAAAACAATACCCTGCTAAGTTTCTCATAGACGTGCCATAGGTTCAATCAATCAATGTCCCTAAAAATAAAAAGGTAGACCCTAACTCGACCCACGTAAACTTCCAAACGAAAAAAACTTTGGCTTGTATATTTTTTGTGACCCATGCCGAAGAATTGTTTTGGGATCTATTAGGGGCTCGATTTCTATTTTTGTTTCAAAGATTTCGGATTAGAATTGATTTTGTGGTCATTTGTTGATTGCTACGCTTCTTTGTCAGGAATTTCGTGTCTTTATTGATAGTTATTGGTTTTATTATATTTGTTTTTGGACTGTGAATAAACATAATCAGTAGAAATATAGCTACAAAATACCCATTCCTTTTACGAATATGAAATATCATAGGTTAATGTTAGAAACCGTATCCAACCTACGAAATGTCTCTCATTATTTACAACAAAGTAATCTTATACGTCCCCCACATTCGTCAAGACCGTCTTCCATGTTAAAACCGACACCGTCGCATTACACGCACGCCTAAGAATCCGCATAAAAATTATGATTACCTTTCTCTTTGACAAACCCCATATTTCTAGCACTTACCATCCCTCCCCATGGTTCGGGCGAATGAATATTTATAGCGGGGTACATTTTTATCGTTTTTCTTGGGTCTTTATACCTGTCGCAGACAGAATCTGATGAGTGAGTCCGCCGACAAAAAGTGCCCATACGCGACTTTCATTAGAGAAATAAATTACGATTCGTGTGGGGATGCCGATCGCCTTTGGGAGACTGGAAGAAACCGTATTTTTACATTATACTTTCAAATCGCAAAATTCTGAGGACTGCCAAAGGGCAGTTTTTAAACCGTGATCATTATACTGAGTTCTTTTTCGTATTCCCGTTTCAGATATCAATCTGGGATCAAATTTGTTGATTTTTGTATCGGTGGAATTATTTTCTGTTTTCAATAACAGGCGAGCCTCGTTAGCATTATAAACAAATAATGCCGAACAATGAGGCATTAATTATTTTACTTCAAAGTGTTACGGTATTATTTCTGACGAGATCCTGTTCTGAGAATCGAATTAAAGGGACATTTTATCTACTTAGCACCAAAATAAACAGAGTGTTTACGTATTAGTAACTAGGCGATGAATAATTAACAATAAATAGTCATAATAGACGAGTTGAATCCTGCTAATCACAGTAACCTAATTTTGCGCCCAGAGGGATTTGGAAATACAACCACAGATGGCGTTATAGGCCAGTCTGCGAACCAACCAGACTAGCCGGCCGCCAAAACAAAAACGTTAGGTGTAAACGACAATAAATATTGTCTAAAAACTAATTGCACCATCAAACAGTTTTACGTATCGCCCAAAAACAAACAAAACTTTGTCGTATCAATCAAATTCGTTCTAAAACTGGCGTCAATTTCGTTTGGGAGCCGAACTCTGACCCGCCGGAATATTGTTGACTGATGTACCAATACATCATCTAGATAAACGAGACCAACAAATTAATTTGTGATGGATGAATATTTCAAACTTTAGTACAGTTTACTGAAATGGATCTAAAAATATCTGATGCAAAACAAACAAAACATTACAATGAAAATTTATAGGTGCTCTCCTTTAAACAATCTTCATCTCAATTTCTCTCTCGCCATTTATTAATCTCTCGTCGTCGTTTCAGCCGAAAGACGTCCACTGCTGGACAAAGGCCTCCCCCAAGGATTTCCACAAAGACCGGTCCTGCGCCGCTTGCATCCAGGTACTTCCCGCGACCTTCACCAGATCGTCGGTCCACCTAGTGGGAGGCCTGCCCACGCTACGTCTTCCAGCTCGTGGTCGCCACTCAAGAACTTTTCTGCCCCAGCGGCCATCAGCTCTGCGAGCTATGTGCCCCGCCCACTGCCACTTGATTTTAGCGATTCTGCGGGCTATGTCAGTCACTCTGGTTCTCCTACGGATCTCCTCATTTCTGATTCGATCACGCAGGGAAACTCCGAGCATAGCACGCTCCATCGCTCTTTGGGTGACCTTGTCGATACCTCTGGGCTCAAAGGTCGTAAAGGACAAAATACCGAAAATGAGTTATTTATACAGTTTTACTCAGAATTTAATTCTCTATCGATCTGTATATTTAGTTTGTCGAAATTCCCAAAAAAAGTGCCTTTACGACCCATCATTTTTGATAAGCTAAACAGAATTCATCGTGAAAATTGGGATGTAAATACCATTTGATTTTTTAGTACAGTTACCATGGTAGTAAAGAACAAGTATACACACATTTTTGGGCGTATAATGTACATGTAGTATATCTATTGTCCTATACAACCTTACATTTTCATACCCAAGTCTAAATAATTTGTCCTTTACGCTCTTAGATTATCTAAACAAATATTTTAAAAATCTACACAGTGAGGATATTAAAATAACTGTGAAGGTTAATTTTATAGACGTTTCTTATAGTATTTAAGTATGTGCGTTTGGAACAAACGAAAGATCCTAAAAAATCATCAAAAATATATAATAAAACTATTTTAGAGTGTAATTTATGTGATTTATACATATAAAATGATGACATCTACCCACATCGGGTAAAGTAATAAATGTTGCTTTTTATTATTTCTCATATTTGAAGAAACTAGGTATTTGTCAGGTAAAAGATAATTATTAAAAGATGATTTAAGAAAATAAAAACATGCTATAAAATAACGTTTTACCTAATTAAGTTAGTATAGTTATCATAAAAATTGAAAAAATAAAAAAGCTAGATTTGTTAAAATATTATGAGAAAAAAAGTCACCTTACTGTCATTATTTTGTATGCACAAATCACACAAATTCATTTATTTATTAATAGGTACAGTTAATACTACACTTTACAATTATTTTTAATGATTTCCTAGTAATTTTGACTAACGCCCTTGGTCAAAACCACTTTTGAGTTTTGACTGTTACAATTATAATAAATAAGTATACTTTCCAAAGTTATTTGGATCAGCTAATAAAGAATAACTAGTAGGAAAAATATTTACACAACATGGGAAAATATAATGTTGAGACTAAGAGTAGGCGCACACAGTTGATTTTTCGTCGGCCGATAGTTTAGTCGGGCAGTTGATCAGTATAGGCATGTATGGGAGTGCGCACTCTACGCCGATTCGATTTGGTCGATTCTTCATACAATTTAAAATCGGGCACAACTATCGGCCAACTAAAAATCAACGGTGTGCACCTACTCTTAATCTACTAAAAAGCGTGAATGCAGTTTTTTTCGAAGTTACATTTTTATATTAAAATTAATTGGCTTTTAAAAACGGTTTTATGTAGGAGTAATGTAAGTGGATGTACTTTACTGGAATGAAAATCTTCCTACTTGTAATCTTACTTACCTAACTTTTCTACTTTTATACCAAGTACAATGACATAATTTTAAGCTGCTATGAATTAATAATGTTTAATTTATCTAGAAATTTAGAATAATAATTATTCTAAATTCTTATTAAATAATATAATAAAAATTAATACCTATAGTTTGGTTTTCGTTTGTCCTTAATAATTCTATTATATTATCTGCATTATCATAAGGTCAACTGGTAGACAGACTGCCCTATGGAATTAAGTCCGCTATTTGTAGTTTTTCGAAATAATAATAATGATTAAATAAATAAATAAAATTAATTTGGTTTCGGTTTTTCCTATAAAGTAGACATTTATGAAGTTTTATTTAAAAGCGTTGTGTGCATTAAATTATGAAGCTACGGAAAATCATTTTATTTCATTTAAAAGACCATAATTCATTTAAAATAAAGAAATGCGAGGAAATGGTAAATTACATATGAAATACCATAAAATATTAAATATTTAAGCTAAATCATCTATTTACCCTTTCATAATACCTTACCTGGGTGTCCCGTTACGACCCATGAAAACCTACAAAACTATGTAAATTGTCATTTATTACCTTAGTTTTGTAGTTTTGTGAAATAAAAATAGACTTACGACCTAAGTAACTTGCCTAGGACGAATATTTGAGGGGCGTAAAGGTCTTTTTATTGTAATTTTGAGGGCGTAAAGGAAATCTATCTCAGTAAATACAGCTCTAGTCCAGTTTTTCAATACCTCTTCGGAAAATGCTGTGAATTCTAAGCACTTTCTTCATAAGTCATAATTTAATAGCTCAAAAAACAAAAAAGTTATCGTCGACTAAAAAAATAAAAAAACGTTTTTTGCTTCTCCTGAAAAGTCGTACTTTGTCCTTTACGACCTTTGAGCCCAGAGGTATCGTATGCTTCTTTGTCGACAAGATGAAGTCGATCTCATTTTTTATAGCGCCATTGGGATGCAGCCAAGTCCACTTTCGCTGTTTTGGCTTCCTGAAGAAGGAGTTCATCATAAAGAGGCCCTCCCTCTCCATAAAGCCAGCCAGCAGTTGGCCACGTGCGTTCCTCTCTCCATACCCAAATTGCCCCACTTTCAGCTCATTATCGCTTCGTCTACCCAGCTTCCGCTTCCTCAGCTCCCCCTCTCTTCGGACTTCGCATAATCCTACGATATCCCACCGCAACCTGCTCAGTTCTTCCTCGAGTTCGGCGAGCCTCACGTCAGTCCGCAGCGTGCGAGTGTTAAATGTTGCCAGGGCCAGAGGTCGTCGGGGTTGGTAGCCTGTCGGTACCCGGTGATTCTTAGCACCCCTCGCCCCACCGTTACCGTGACCGCTACCGTGGCCCGGGATAGTGGGGCCGCCGGGGACTAGGGGCCGTGTTTTTTTGTTCCTCTCCATGGGGGGGATTTGCCTTAATCGCCACGCTTGGCAGGCGGGTTGGCGATCGCAGTTTTTTATAAGGTTTCGCACGCAGACGCTGCTGCCCGTCCGGTGCTGCAGGGATTTTGTCCCTCTTACGACACGCCTCCTGTTGGCGGTGGGGAAGAGTATTCTTTATGGCCGTCCCCACACGGCACTAAATTAATCTCTAGAGATTATTAATCTCTAGAGATGGTAATTATAGTAACTGCAAACTAAATAATATGCTACGTACGAGCTAAATAGCTCTATCATCTAAGCTGCAAAATGTGTGGGTCCATTTTAACGTGGCTCAAATATCAGTGGTCCAGATCGCAGCCAGTAAATTGAGGCAAGACGATCTAATTACGGTGCAGAACATCGATACAACTTTACATACGATGAAACATAGTAATATGTATCTTATATCATCTTAATAACTGTCGGGCGGATCGTACATAGTATTTATGCGGATAAAACTCTGATTAGATTCTCTTATCGATAACCACGTAACGATAAGATGATAGATTTACACAAAGTTTAAAGAAGTCTGTCAACAAAGTGAATACAAGACAAAAGTAAAATTTTCAAAATGCCTATGGCGTCAAATTGCAACGGAATTATGTTGGTTTATCTAAAAAAACACTCAGCTTAAAAATTAGGGCTTTCGACTTCTATTCCTTTAAAGATTACACAAGGGTTTCCTTATTGATTTTGTTCAGGAGTTGATAAGAAATAAAATCATGGTCTGATTTTCAAATCTCAAACACAATAACTTGACATGCTAATCGATTGATATAACGTTACAATTAACAAGAAACAGGAAGTAATTACCTCATAAAGGTGTTACGTTAAGCGTGTGTTTGATTAGGCCCATCCTGTAGATAACGATTCCCTGGAGAAATTTTTACCTCCATTACATAACTTGGGCAAGCGTAATCTGCCGGTATTTATGTCACCCTGTGTGGCCAGGTTGGGCAATATTTATTGTTGGGAAATTACAATATTGGGATTTGGGTTAAACAAAAAAGAATAATCATACAACCAATATTGATTGTCAGTACATTGAAGAAGTTACTGCTTGACTAATTTCGGCTGAATCTGAGAAATTGAACCAAAGAAAATCCCATGTTGCACCTCATCATCATCATCATCATCATCTCAGCCATAGGACGTCCACTGCTGAACATAGGCCTCCCGCAATGCTTTTCATGCTGCCCGGTTGGTAACGGCCTGCGTCCAGCGCCTTCCTGCTACCTTTATGATGTCGTCGGCCCACCTTTAAAGGTTGCACCTGCAGAATGTTAATTTTAAATGAACCCAAGTAACTCAAGTTCTATAAAGGTATAAAACAAACATTATACTATAAGAAACAGGCACAAAAGACTAGCTTCAAAGAAAAACAAAATGGTTTTAAGGACGAATTACGTAATAAAAGGGTTCTACCAAATAAGTCTGTTAACACGCGAAACAAAATGTGCAACACTAAAAATGAAAAA